CGGCGAGGCCGGGGGGCCGCCCCCCCTGCCTGGCAGCAGACTCAGGCCTGGTCCCAGGGACAGCAGCGTATCAACGTCTCCCAGGGCCCGGCTCCCGCCACTCACCGCTGTCCACTTTGAAGCGTTCGTGCCGGGCCCGGAGCCCGTCGATCTCGGTCTGCTGGTCGGCCAGGAAGCGCTCCAGCTTCCCCTGCACAGGCTGGGGCAGCTTGGCCAGCTCGGCCCGCTCCAGGACCTGCTGCAGCACCGCCGCCATCTTGGGAGGGAGCCGCTAACCTCGCTACCGCCTCCCGAGCAGCGCGCAGCCAGAGCTCGCCTCCCCGGCTCGCACAGAGCGCGCACAGTAGCCAACCGACCGCAGGCGCCACCGGAAGCGGAACTCGTGTGCGAAAGCTTCCGCAAGTCGCGTCCTGTCCGCCATGATGGGCGAGGCACTGCGCCCCGGGTGGGCAAGAAAGAGGCGCAGCGACCTCTGCCACACAGAACATGGCGGGCCCCGATGGGCGGCAACAAAGAGCGCCCGACCTCCGGCGCTGAGAGTTTTCTCTCCTCGAATCATAGAACCTGAAAGAGACCTGAGGCGCAGTGATCCTACGTCATCAACCTGCGCCTTGAGAGCGGAGCGCAGCGCAGCCTGGTGATGTGCATCTGTGGGGACACCAGTAAGCTGTGGCCCTGGCTGGGAGGCTGACCTTGGTGGGGGAGGGGAAGCGTGTCTGAAGGCGCCGGGGGCCTGGCCGCGCGGAGGGGGAGAGCTGGTGGGGCAGAGGGAACATGTCCCCGGTCGGAGGTGCTGGCTGGCCCCCCGCGCGGGGGCCTGCACCTTGCAAGTCCTGGCGCCTGCCACGTCGCCTCTCAGCTCTTTGGTGTAGATCTCGCTCGCTCGCTCTCTCTCTCTTGATTTTACTGTGTCCCTTTGGAGTCGGGATGTAAGTGACTAGTTCACTGCCCGATAAGCCTAGGCTCCACTGGTACTCGACTGTCCTCCCCACCCCCCACTGCCTGATACAGAGTAGCAAAGGGAGGGGGGAAAGCTGGTGCTGAAGGGAGCTTAAAATCCAGTCCCCCCCAGCGCCCTCTCTGGTGTGGGGTGGGGGAGGAGAGACAGAGTCACAGTGGTCTGGAAGATGGGACTGCTCAGTTCCAGCTTTCACTGGGTCTCGGACTGCTGCACCTCTACCTTGTAAATGTAGGGAGCCACCCAGCTCTTATTACATTTAAAAGGCAAAGCTGCAGCGGGGGTGGGTCTGGGACATGGCCTGAGCTGGGACTGCTCAGTCCCTCTTGTGCCAAGTCTGGGACGGTGCCCCTTATCAACTAATTGTGTGTTGATATAAATTGTGTCGACTATATGATTAGTCAATTACCTGCTTCTTAACATCCTTAGTTTGGAAGGAGTGAGTCAAATAGATTGAAGTATATGAGCCTGGCGGCCAGGGGAGAGAGAATCCCCCTATGCCCACCTCCTACATCTTGTGTTCAGGGATTTTTTAAAACAAACAAAACCCTGCAAATGGAAGGTGTAAGACAGGCCTGTTTGACAGACTTTTGTGGCTTAAAAAGCAAATCATGTCTGAAGAAGGGAATGAGCATGTTTAAAGAATGCAGCTATTGTGGACTGAGCCAGGACTAGTCTTTCATTTTTTTCTAGGCAGCAGTTATTTGCAGGTGATGTGATTATAGGCTAGAGATGGGAGTCTGACTGAGAATTGTGAATTCATGAGACAATAATTGGAGGTGAACATTAAGAGTTGAAGGTTGTTTCATAGGTCATTTGTAAATTATCGTTTCAAGACTTTAAATGAAGATATTTTATTTGATATGTCAGTTTCACAGTTATCACATTTAAAATACCTCTTTTTCATACAAGTATGTTAAGAATATACTTACCTATTCAGAAAGAGACTTTTAGAACTCAGTAAAATGATCAGTAACATATTAATATGCTCAGGGTGTTTTTCTGACACTTTATTTCTGTGTTCTTACTCTCCTATACCTTATGTTCTCGGACTAAGTACCTCTAAAAAGTAGATTAATATATTCTCTTTTTATAGATGGAAATTAGACTAAACCTGCAGTAATGGGAAGAAGCTATTTTGTGGAAGAACCTGTTGGACAGTATCTTTCAGACTTCAGCACCAAGCCAAAGACTTGTGTCACAGGCTTGTTGATAGGACAGGTAACTGTTTAAATTGCTATATGAAAGTGAATAGGCTTTTGTGATGTGAATGTAACTCAGATTAACATGTTCATATAGGGCTTATTATCTATATTCAGCTGTAAAACCTTTTAAGTAGCCGATAGGCCCTGGGCAAGAGTGCAGCCCCAGAGGGGCTGGGGGCAGAGAGGCTGGCGATGGGGAGCAGGGCTGAAGGAGAGCCTTGATCTCCCTGGGTCCGGCAAACTCCGAGGTTTGGGACTGCCCAGGTCACGAGGGTGCCCAACCAGAGAAGTCCCACCTGTAGAAGTTTCATGTGTGTTAAGGTGTTAGTAGAAATGAGATTGTGAAGATCATTTTAGTGTCACTTCTTTTATATATTTGTGAATGATTAACATAGCAAAATATGTTACCATTTTAATTTCTTCCTTTTTTGCCATTCCCAAAATTGATAATCTGTATTTTCATTGTTACCTTGTACTATTTGTATTGATTTTTTTCTCTGCCACAACCACGGGCTCCTGCAGAGCTGCCTCTGAGGCAGCGAAGAAGGGGCAGGGGGGGAGAGGGGGG